CAATAAAAATAATAAACATGAAATATGTTATATAAATAATATACAAACATAAATGGGAAACCATACTGGTATATTTTATTAAAGTGTATAAAAACTAAAAAATGGTGTGTAAAATATTTTAAAAATTTAATATAATTCTGATTGAATAATTTTTTAAAATATACTTTCAAATTTAACAAGTCAAATACATTTTGGATGGGGTCAGCTCCACTTCCCCCTTTAAAGCTTTTCTTTTTTCAAATCCCTTCCGTTTCTATATTTTGTAATTTTCAAGCAACGTTCCAGCAAATGAAAATGTCTTCAGGTTAAATCCGTCCACCATATATTTTCTTAATAAAGTGAAAAGTTAAACAATATAAAACAAAAGCCTCCGGGCTGAGATGAACTGGGGCTCAACAGAGCGCAGCTCATGCCACATCCCCGCTTTGATAGCTCTGCCCGAGTGTATTAGAAAACTCATAATAGGAGTTAATAAACAAAGCGTGTAAATAGCAAAAGCAAACAAACAAGGTCGTCGATGCTCTGGCCATGGAGCTGCATCCGGGTGGCCGAGGACGCTTACCATTGTACCTTGCGTTCAAGTAACCCTCTGTGGAAGTGTCCAGGCCGAATTTGCCAATGGCGGCTGCCGCTGCCGCCGTCGGCGCTGGTGCAGTGTACATGACCAGCTCGTCCGTCAACTGGTGGTGGTGATGGTGATGGTGGTGGTGCGCATACCAGGACGATTCGCGCACGAGATCTGCTTGGATGATGGACATTGGTCAGTAGAGAGTCTTACAGGAGTCGTGCGCTCCATGTCAAGTCACCATTGCATAAGGATGTGGCGCTTCCGCTGACGTTGCTGGCCAGGCCATTCATTAGAGCTCCAGCAGGTGGAGTCCCATTTCCGGCCATCGCCAGGCAGCAGGGCGGCGACCTTTGGCCATGCGTGGGCAAGGGAAGAGTGCAGATGGCTTCCATAAGAGTGTGACTCACGTCCATGTCGCTGTGAGTGTGACTGTGGCATTTCTTGCGTTCCGTTTCAGAGTTCTCGCAACTGGAGGCCGAGGAGGACGAGGATGTGGCCTTGCCGACAGCCGGCAATGTCGAGGTGACACAGGAAACCACCGAATCCGTGGTTATAGTCGATGTATTTGGCACCGTGTGGTACAGCCCATGGTGATGTGGATGCGAGTGGGAGTGAGGATGGTGATGATGATCCAGGTTCGTCAGCGTCTGCTGTAGCTGCTCAAGATGCGACTTGGCCTCGCTGTAGTCGGCCTGCCAAAGAAGGAAATGAACCAAGACGCAGCAGGAAGTTATTATGAGTTTCTTCGATTTTGGCAAATGAATTGCCAAATTGTGATTTTGTTTTTGGGGTTGCTGGTCGGGCTTTAAGTGACTTTAAAGCCACCTGCTGGGCAGCTGCCCGGGACGCTGGTCCGGCACACAACAGGTTACGGCTAGAGTTACGGTCACGGCGAGCAGTTTCAATTACAGTTACAGATACCGGTACAAACAGCATGGAAACAAAGTGTTCGTCACATTGACATACTCAAGTGTGAAGAAGTTTGTGGCAATTAGCTTAACAGCTTCTAGCTCCGGCCTTGCTCGGCTGCCTGGCTGTCTGTCCGGGTGTCGATTGTCTTTTGTTGTGCTTATAGCCGTGTGTCATTAAGTAATGAGCTTCGCCAAAGTATACAACTAACTGGAACTGGGATTGCAATTGGAATTGTAATTGTGGGGCAGGGACAGGGACAGGGGCAGGGCCATTCATAGTGTGAATAGAATAGCACAACATATGAGAAAGACAATGGAAACCCGCGGTTTATTGACACTTTTACACTTAATGAGCTGCCTGAACTGAAGAGGTCAGCCGGGTTTATGGGGCGGTGGCATCTGCCACTCTCTCCGCTCATTACAGCTGGCAACAGCATTTCACTTTCTAGCTGCTCGTCAGCAAGATCTAATGATGCTGCCGGCAAATAATGCGTTGATCTGACATTTCTGTTGGCTTTCGCGTCAATTTGCGATTGACAATTGGCAATTGGCAATTGGGTTTTGTTTGCTTTTCGGTTTTCTGTTGCAGGCTGTATTGGCACTTGACACTTGGAAAACTGGAGCACAGCAAGCGTTGCGCATCGCTGCATTTGAGAATCATTTGTAGCATATGCACCGAACTACAAACATACGTGCAAACCTAGCTGTATATATCCATATATACCAGCAGTTTAACTTGCCCAAGATGCAGTGTCTTTGACTTCATGCGGAAACGCAGAAAGCGGCAAGTTTCTCAGCTAGAAGGCAGAGAGAACGTGCAGCGTGCAGCTTTCTCCCCGGCTGTTTTCGTAGAAAATAGAGCTAAAGGTTATGTAAATTTTGGTACATTAAACCTGAAATGTGGCATTACATTTTGCAATTGGCGAAGGAATATATGTATATAAATATAGGAAATGGTTAGCGATTCATAAATTGCAAAATATGTCTGCAGCTGGTAAAGACGTTGTGATGAATTTAATAACTGCATGCAGACAATTTGTTAAATCAAATTACAAACATAATTTACCGTAACCGTCAAGCCGAGCCGGCGAAGCGTTGCCACCTAACACGCAGCCAGTGCAAATGCAAGAATATCGAGACTAATCGTTGTCTTTGTTATTGTCTTTGGAAGCATTGTGAATGTGTTGGTAAATGTCGAAATTAAACGACATTTCAAAGTTAATGTCAACGCATAGGCCATGTCTTGTAATAAAACAAAACTTGTTGATAATAGTGCATTCAATTAGCTAAAAAGGCAATTGTGAGCACCTAAGTGACGTGTTTGCTGAATTGATCAACTCTGAACTTTACTCAAACAATTCGAGTGCGGGTGGCTAATATTACGACGCATGCGCGCCCGCAACTGGCATTACGAAACGCAGCGTTGACGTCGTATTTGCTTTGAGTTTGTAAGCCACTTTGATCTACTTTGCAGCAGCAGCGGCAGCAGAGGCAGCAGAGACAAAGGCGGCAGCAGCGGTAGAAGACAATGCTTTTCTTTTTGGCTTTGTGTGCGGCGTTTTTTCCACGCTCGTGTGCGTCGCTGTGCCTGGCGCTTGTCGTGGAAAACACTTTCACTGCACATGATGAGGCAGTGACACGACTTCGGAGTTGTCTTTAGCCCAGTCGTCGTGAACTTCTTGTGGGTGCTGCTGCGTCTGCGGCTGTGTGTGTGTGTGTGTGTGTGTGTGTATGGAAGCGCGACCGAGCGAGTTTCTCGGTCTCGCATGCGTTGTCTCCAGAGCTGAGAGCGCATTTTCGATTCAACTGTGGACCAGACCAGGTGGTGTCTCTTCCGCGTCTACTTAACATATTCATCCCATACAACACTTCAATGTGCTGCGAGAGATTAGCATCATGCGAGTATCAGGATCAGACTGCTTGAGCAGAGGGAATAGTTTCATAGGCTTAGTCTTACTTGGCGCACTCCTGCAAGGTGAGTGCCAAAATCTATTGCATTGACCGTCTAGCTGACTCTCAAGCGTGATTACAGCTGCTGTCAGTCAACCTTACCAAGCGCCTCATCGCTGTTCGAATCGTCTGGAAAACGCACTCGAGCATATGCGCCGCCGCAGCGCTCAAACCAAGGGCTCCTCTCGAGCTCGCTCCCGCTCTATTTGGGAGCAGTCGCAGTCTCCGTACCAGTTATATAACAGCTTCTACGGCCAGCAGAGCGAGCCCGAGGACGATTTCTATAATGTGGGCGGCAGCATGAACTATGGGCGTGGATATTATGCCAAGCGTATTCGACGCACTGGACGTCCTTATCAATTTGGCGATACATCTGACAGTGGCATTAGCAACAGTGCTTTAGAGCTTGAGGAGCTGCTTTCCTCCCACCAACAAAAACAACACCAACAGCAGCAGCAGCATCGGCAACCACACAAATTGGCCATATCGCGGGTGGATGTGGAGGATCTTAAGGTACGGGTGCCGCCGGCAAAGGCCTCTTCGCGCTGGGTGGAGATTGACAAGTGCAAGTTCAGCACCGAGAACTCCACTTTGGATACGCGTCTCATTTTTCCAGACTTGACACTCAGCGGGAGGATAGTTATGCAACCCACCGGCGGGCGTTGTAATATGATATTGCGAATGAGGCATGCAGGAATCGAGTTCCGCACAGTTCCGTTGGGTCCCGCGGCATCGGGACCCTCGTATGAGCAGTCGCGCAGAATAGGCGCCGCCTCCGTACGCACAGACTCGCATTTCGCGGAGCCTGGCTTCATTTCCGTATTTGCCCACGGCTGCCAAGGACCGACTGGCATTAGACTACGGCAAAATTCTAAGCGACGGTTTGGTTACGGTGAGGGCACTGCCCCTCAGGTCGAGCTGGGAGAACCACAAGTTATTTTGGGTAACGCTGGCAAGTATCACAAACCGAATTACGATATTCGGCTGGAGCAAACCACCCAGCGAGATCAGAGCCTGACCTTTGGAAGCAATGAGGAATTCGGTAACTCGAATGAGTTCTTTGATGTGAACGGCGATAACTTCTACCGACGGCGACAGTTGGGGAAGCGTCGCCGGCGGCGCCGTCGCAATATCGACTTCTCGGATGAAATCCATTTCAATGAGGACGTCCTGCATTTTGAGGATGAGCAGCTGCAGCAGATGGTCGAGCCAGACGCCCGTGCATTTGCTGATATATTTAGTGGTAGCAGTGGCATCAACGCCAACGAGGACTTCGTGAGTGATGCCATGACCAATGAGCTGGAGAAGCTCTTTTCGATGGGCGTGCGAGGCTTGCTTACCACTTACATGCAGCGAGCCCTTCAGCCGGCGATTAAGGAGACGCTCATGGAGAACATGGGATATACGCTTAGTTATGGATAAGCCTTGTTATATAAGTAAAAGTGTGTAAAAGTGTGAGCAATGTCTGAATGAAATAAAGCTTTAAGTACTTAAGATCGAATTATCGATCGTTTTTTAAATGTGAACGGACTATTCAATTTTATTTCATGTCCTTATTGTCTGTCCTTACCAGTTTAGCTGTATCCATCTAATTGTCCTCTACAACTCTTTCTTAACTGAACTTCAAACACACTGACTGCACTATTGAACTTGAATGCTTTTTGTCATGCAGAATTTCACAAATAGAATTTCACCTTGTTTTCGTGCATCAATAATTTTGAATTATTAATCACTTCATGGCATTCACTTGTTACAGTCAGCGATCGGCGCATTCCGTTAGTAATGTAACGGTTATGAAGTAACCGTGGCGACTGTGTGCGGAAATTCTTAGCACACGGCCAACTTTCAATGTGATTTATGTGATGGTCATTAAGGGTTGAATAGGCAGGTTAGGATGCTGTGACACAAGGCGCAGCCGCAAAACGCCCTCCAGGACTGCAATTGGTGTGCAGCCAATAATTCCAACAACCAATCAGAGCGCATTATTTGTATGAATTGGAAAAAGCAAATAATATAAGTATGACCAAAATAAAATCGGGCCGAAACTATAATTTGAAGATTATATATATAAGCATTTGATCCCCCCAAAAAAAATATTATCGCACATAAGATATAATATAAGATAATATTATTAAATAAATATTTACGATATATATACTCATTTGAGTCCAGTAAAAGGGGGTTAGTTTTTTATTTTAAAACTGCCGCGCATTTAGTCCAGTGTGTACACATAAACATTGCTCTAGTGAGAAAACAAATACCTGCGTTATTACTGTCAACATATCGATGTATAGTTACATATCGATATACTAAATCATTAAAAATGTTTGTTGGTTTAAAATGTCTTTTAATCTTTTTGGTATGTAATTGAAAAAAATTTGTTATACCCTCGACACAAGTAAGTCAATATGACCTGTGTAGTAGAAAAGCCAGCTCATGACTGAATAATAATGTTTCCATTTAAAATATCGATTGGCCGATATGAAAACAACATCAACAAAAATAATTGAACAGGGTGGGTGGAAGTGTAGGTGTCTCAATCATCAACAAATATTAATATACGCAAGTAGACTTGACATTGGACTACTGCGGAAGTAAGACATATCTGTGTTGAGAAAATATCAAATTAGAAATTCGCCGACTACACACTGGCAAGGGTCAAAATTGATAACAGTGGTGATGACGCGCTTATTCAGTCAGGTGGTGTAGTTGGTTGTGTCTGGCCGCATTATATAATTAAAAACAAATCTGTAAGCATATGGGTCCAGGTAATCCGAAAGACCCTAATGTCAAGTGAACAATAACAATATTTAAAACCAGGGGCACAAAGTCAAATAACAAGACAATGGATATATATTAGTACGCATGCATCGAAACGTTCACCTTGGGAACAAAATAATTTCGTGCAGTCACCTTTCAATTGCGTCAACGTAAATACATATGTATATAACATAATGTTATATTTTCCATTTCAGAAAGTCCCACATCCACATCCACATCGCACATAGAAAAGCATACCATACTTAATGCGTGCCCGCTTGGCCGGATATTGTCAACGACGGTTAATGATGCTGTAAACAAAGATTCAGAAACGGTTAAGCTGATTTCGACATACGAGTGTCTCGTTCGCTTCACTTGGTACTGGAAACGCATGCAACAAGTGCAGGTTCTCCAGCACACGGTCTCCGACAGCTGTTCCAAATACAGCTAACAAAATGTCGGAAAGCACCGGCGTGACTATGGAAGCCAGCGGCGATCTTGCTGGTCCAAGCAGGACTAGCGGGAAGGAGAGCGCCTACATACGGACCATCGAATGGGACATGATGAACAAGACCAAGTTCTTTCCACTTTCTATGCTGAGCTCCTTTTCGGTGCGATGCTGCCTATTCCCGTTGACGGTGATCAAGACCCAGCTGCAGGTGCAGCACAAGAGCGATATATACAAGGGCATGATTGATTGTGCAATGAAAATTTATCAATCCGAGGGAGTGCCGGGTCTGTACCGTGGTTTCTGGATCTCATCAGTGCAAACCGTATCCGGCGTCTTTTACATCAGCACCTACGAGGGTGTCCGACATATACTCACTGACTTGGGCGCTGGCCACCGTCTGAAGGCTTTAGCGGGTGGTGGATGTGCATCGCTTGTTGGCCAGACCATTATAGTTCCTTTCGACGTAATATCACAACACGCCATGGTCCTGGGAATGTCGGCGCATGCCGGCTCAAAGGCCGATATTAACCCACTAGGTATTAAAATGTGGCCTGGACGCAGCCGCTTTAATATATCTATGGATATAGGGCGTGAGATATTGCGACGTGATGGTTTCCGCGGCTTTTACAGAGGGTACACTGCAAGCCTCATGGCCTATGTACCTAACTCTGCGATGTGGTGGGCGTTTTATCATTTATATCAAGGTATGTTCCATTGCTTTTCCACATAAGATATGTTCTATATCGATTTTTCAATTCTAGACGAACTGTGTCGGATATGCCCAGCTTGGGTGTCCCATCTTTTCATCCAATGTGTGGCTGGCAGTTTGGGTGGCTTTACAACCACAATATTAACTAATCCATTGGACATAGTGCGAGCACGCCTTCAGGTAAGTCTTAGAAATTATGATGTATTGTACATATCGTTAATCGCGTTATCTTGCAGGTTCATCGCCTAGACTCCATGAGTGTTGCTTTCCGCGAACTGTGGCACGAAGAAAAACTGAACTGCTTCTTTAAGGGCCTCTCCGCACGCCTGGTGCAGTCGGCAGCCTTCTCATTCAGCATTATTCTTGGATATGAGACCATCAAACGCATAGCGATAGACGAGCAATACAAGCATCAAATACGCTGGTAACAAACGCGACGCACAAATCTAAAGAAAAACCACATCAAATCGCATCTGCATTTACGCAACGTACTGAGGAACCACCAGAGATTTGTTACTGAGCCAGCTGGAGCGCAATGCTCGGTGCTCAACCTTTGTAAATATCTGACGAGATGAATAGTAAAAAGCACAGGTTAATTAGCTAAATTCAAATACAATTATGATTATTGTAGGGCGTTGAAATGTATCTTACAATTAGTTAAAAACAATTTTGTTACGCTCTGCTATGTTTACGTACATAACTAATGCAATTTAACTTAAAAATACCCAAAGTGTTGTAGCTTAAAGTGTAGATTTTTGCTATAGTGATTTTTTACGTTATACATACTACCAGAGGCAGGAGAAAGTTGATGAAGATGATAAACAAAAATTCATAGAGCACATGTATACATATATATAGCAGTCTTGTACATTATTACTCTAAGATATGTAATTGATGATGATGTTGATAATAATGTTACAATAATACTTTTATAAAGCCAATCTGGACATTCTTATACTAGTACTTACCTCATTGTGTCCTTTCACTCACAACGGGGCGCCGTGATACGGCACTTTTTCGATGTGTGTTTTTGAAAGCCAAAAACAAAAATAAAACATTAATGTAGTCTTAGCAAGCATTGTAATAAAGTACAAACCAAGAATTTATACATTTTGGCACTGTGAAACGTGAATTTCATATGTGTTCAATGGTCAATGCGATCCCAACCTACAAAATGTGAACCTGAAATCTAGTTCTATTGATTAAGGTAAATTGTATACATATTACGTAAATAGATAGCATGATTTGCAATATTTGTTATGGTTATGGTTAGGATTGTTAAAAACGTGGTTTTTATTTTATGCGCGATATCTTTAGACAATTAGGCAATTTGTTCGTTGCGCATAATCAGTTCGCATTTAATCAGTTTCGTTTAGACGTGTGCAATTAGGTATGATAACCATAATATCTATGTATTGAACACTATTCAGAATGACCTTTGGATTCGGAAACTTATTAATGCAAAATATGAATAAAATCCAAAACTGTTGCCACAGTCATACATATATATGAAAAATGATTTTGATATCGAATAATTGTGGATAAATATTTTCTTGCGCGTCAACAGCTGTGGACAGCTGAACGGGTGGGTGTATAAAATGGTTGTGCACATATTGCGATATCTTAAAAATGATTCTAGAAATTCCTTTAAACTGGTGTTACAGCTAGTCAACCCAATTGAAGAAATTGTATAATCATTTAAATTCTTTACGTGAATGAACAATAAAACACATATACACTTATAATCTAGTATATGTTGCTCAACATTATTAAGTAGGCGTTCAGTGATTACGTACTAACTGATTAGAAATTTTGCTTCATATTTGTTATGATTCTATGAAGTAATAATTGCTGTAGACGATGACATTGCGTTCAAGCTCATGGTCGCTAGATTAGAGCTACTTGTAGATTTGGTGTACTTGCCT